GCCTGCTGGGTGTGAGTCCTGGGCCTCTGCTCTCTCCTCCATCCCCATCTCCTTCTCAGTGTGCAAAGGGGGGGAATACATGGAAAGAAACAAAGGGATGCAGGGAGGAAAGGAGACTGTGGATGGCTATATACCAATGAGAAAGTCTAAGTGAACAAGGTCCAAAGAGGCCCAGGAGGGGCCCAGAGAGATTCACAGACCCTCGAGATGAGCTCTTAACTTTCAGGGAACCTTGGTCATCTCTGCCAGTCCGATAAGGCCCTGGAGACTCTGACAACAAAACCGCATATACACATACATGCGGCGTTTTACACACAACCGCGGCGTGTTCGCTGTGCCCCCTCTAGCGCTAGGTCCCGTTACGCGCGCCTCGGGAGGAGAGGCCCCGGGCTCTCCCGGCGCGGTGTTTGCTGGCCTGGAGCCCAGGTGGTCCCCCGCAGGTGCAGGTGCCCGGTGACTGTGCCCCAGAGACAGGAAGCGCCCGCAGATCAGAACCGTCTCAGAACCCCTCCTGCTGGCTCCCACCTCCCGCAGCACCTCAGGCGTCAAGGGGAACAAGCAGCACAGCTCCCTGCACCGCATCCTGAACCATTACCTGCGGGCACCCAGAGCTTCCCCCAACCCGGGACCACCGAAGCAGTGGCTCTGGCCCTCCGTCTCCGCGCCCAGAGGGAGTTTCCCGGGGACGCGGACATCCAGGGTCAGCGCTGTCCCTGAGGCTCAGGCCTGCCCTGCTGCTCCGAGCTGGGCTTCTCTCCTGGCCCTAGCTCTCCGAGGAAGGACGGTCCAGCTCTATCTCCTTCAAACCACCTGGGCTGCGCTGAGGTTTCAGGAGCGACCGGCTCCGAATCTGGGAAGCGGAAACCACTGTCTTCGCCAGTTCTCGCAGCCAGTGGAAACCAAACACCCCTAATCGGCATCTCTAAATTCTGAACGTGGTGCCCCAGCTAATGCTACACAGATCCAACCAAACAGCATGAGTTTTCAAAGAATTCCCGAACCATGTCATCTTCTTAAATGAGCCCAAATTACAGGTGTTCTCTGAAAACACAACTGAAATAATATTTCACAACATAAAATGGACTTGGGAAGAAAGAGTTTAAAATCACCTCATGGATATTTTAATAAGAGAGGAGCCCAACACTACTGTCCCCAACATCTCCTAAAACACTACCCATCAGACAACGTCCCGACGTGACTCAGTTCCGCACGAATTGAGGAAAACCCTCAGCCTGGCCCTCCAGGGCGCATCGCCGAGGCCGAGCCTCCCCCTGCAGCCATGTACCCGCTGTGTTCCCCGAACTCCGCTCTTACAGACGGCACAGACCCTCGCTGTCTCCAGAGCACAGCCTGCACTTTCCGCTGCTAGTGGCATTCGTGTCGCTGCGGCCGCAACGTCCTGACTCAGACTCCCTTCGGCCTCTCCTTCGAGTCCCATCTCAAATGCTCCATGTCCTTCGGAAGCCCCTCCTCGCCCCTCCAAATGAAAACGATCTCGTCGAGTTCCCAGGCACCAGAGGCCTTTGTGTGACATGCCTACGCACGCTCATGAAGTACCTATGAACCTTCTATGAAGATGACTTCCATCACGGCCTTTGCCTGTTTTCCTGGTTGGGCTGCAGACTCCTTAGGGCCAGGCAGCCTGGTTTAACGCTGAAGGATCGCTCCCTCGTAACCTCCTCTGCCTGACACGCTGCTTGCAACACAGAATCCGTACACATTTACTGAACTGTTATTTTATTAACGATGCTAATGAGACAGTGATTCTTGCAGATTATCAACTATGGGCCAAGGGTGGTATTGCTATATTCAACCTAATTTAATATTCGAAATCCTGTGACTGAGGAAATTGAGGCTTAAGGAGCTTAAGTAACTTATCCAAGGTCACCCAGCTGTCCAAGGTCACCCAGTTGCTCAAGGTCACCCAGCAAGTAACATACCCAACTGTTCACACAGCACGATGGACTTTGGATCTGCGTCCAAATTTGTTTATAGACTCCAACCTGGTCCCCAAGTTACCACCATGTAAAAGCAATAACATTGAAAAAAATATATTGATTTCAATTCTTAGATACATACGTTTAGCAAGCATGAAGCAACACCTTAGCTTGTGGTAGCGAGAAGAGCTGCTTTCCAAAATGAACCTAGGCCATCAGCAATGAGTCTCAAAGGTTACACACTACACATGATGAAGAACCTGCATCGCCACAGCCCAGGAAACGTAAGCCATGGAGAGGGAGGCGTTGGAGGCATGTTTGAAAGGGTGACGCCTCCAAATGAGTCTGCCTATAGTAACAGAAGAAGCAAAGGCTTGGCAGAGATTAGAATTCCGGGCGGAGCATGTTTAGCCCTGGCCCTTGGGCAAATTACCTTTCTAAGTCTCATTTTTCCAAGTGATAGGTGACAATAATAACTGCTTTCATTGATAATGCAAATGCTGGATGGGTATAAGGCATGCAACTCAAACGGTGATGACAGCCCTGCCATCGTAATAGTATTTTCGTGGGAGTGACTGTGCCACGCCAGTGTCCTTGAGCAACATGGAGCTGCCATCACTGGTCCCAGCTTTTCTCACTGTCCACAGTACTCTCCACAGAGCAAAGGGGAGCCTCCAGGTCCCAACCTTCCTTCCTCTGTGCACTGACTCCCAGCTCTCTCTCTGGGACCTAAAGAAACAGTCAGACATGAAACCAAGCTGGCTCTTCCCCTGACGCCCGGCCATCAGCCCCCTCTGGTCTCGCTTCAGAAGCGGTGGATGTACAGTGGCCTCTGGCACCAGTCTCGGGGGCGCACAAGCACCACAGCTTTCAGGTGCTCCTGGTCCTTGGGGTCCTCGTGGTCACAGGAGAGAATGTCTCCTGGGAGGGGTGCTCTGCAGGTACCTGGGGCGGTGGCCACTCAGAGCCCTGCTCTCAGTAATGACTGACCGGTTCCCCTTCCCCTGCGCAGTTCCCCCAAAGGGGCCGTAATCACAATCTCTGGGCCACTAGTCAGTGTCTCTAACTGGCACCGGCCACCATGGAGGGGCGGGTAGGATCTGGAAAGTGCTCTCATTTCGATAAAACACAGAACAGCAACGACCGAGGGAAGACTTACAGACATTGTTGATTACAGAGCAGACGAAAGCAGTGTCCTGAAAGTAGCAGGCTTTTTTCTTAAAAAACAACAACAACAAAAAACCCTGCGCTGTTCAGTCTCCTGGAAAACACGTGCCTGGGAACCCAACAGCTGCAGCAACAGCCTCAAGGAAAAGCGATTTTTTTGTTGCCTTTCCAGCGGAGGCAAGAGAAACACAATCCTGAGGCTGGATTTGGGGTTCTGGCACATGCTAGCAAATCTCAATGGCCACAAAAGGAAACATTCCCCCAGCAAGCGGCCTGCGGGTGCTCACACCTTAAGCAGGCGCTGGGAAGTCAGCCACCGCCCGGCCGCGAGAAACAAAGTTACTCTGAGCTCGGCAACAACTTCCTGGGTTTGCTCCTGGAATTCCCAGAGGTGCCTGAGGCACTTGTCATTATTTTGTCAATTATTAAATGATTTCCCCTAAAATCAAAGAAAACATGACTATCCAAACCTAATAGATATAACAGATGCTCCCAACAGTCACGCCTGTGATTTACAGATTCAGCCACCGACAGTAACACTTCCCTCTTCATTTTTAATTTCCGACTTGTTATCTGCTCTCTGTCCAGGGAGGAAGGAAGGGGGGGGCAAGAACCCCCACAGGATGGGAACCTCCGGCACTTCAACAGTATCACAGGAACCATGTTTTCTCAAGAAACACCACCAGTTCTCCTACCTACAACTCCGCGTCCTCGTCACATATGTGGGTTATTCTATGATTGTTACTGTAACAGTGACCTATGTATATGCGCGCACGTGTGTCCGTATAGACACACACAGTCCGTGAACCAACAGGCACGCTCAGCGAGGCTGCTGCGGGGAAGGGCTTGCTGCCCGCGGAGGGGCGCAGCCCTGAATCCACGCGGGGATTGAGGCACCGCGGCTGCTGTGGGCAGGCGCCGAGCTGAGCCTCTCCATTTAGGACCCTGTTCCCTGTTCTCTGTTCTCTCAGAGACGCGGTCCTGTCCGCCCCCTGGTCAGCTGGTCCCGCTGGCACTTTCATTGTCCCGGCAGGAGGTGGTGAAAGGGGAACCGGGAGTTCCTGACTCGGGAACCGGGAGTCCCCTCCACACCCCAGCAATTGATCCCCTGCTGTCCCTGTCGCTGGGACTCACCTTCCCGTGGCAATCTGGGCGCAAGGCCACCGAGCCCATGGAGTCAGGATGCACCCCAGAGGCTCACCCCCACCGCCAGGCCCAGGCCCCGACCCCCACCCAAGCACCTCGGACAGCCCCTCCGACCCCTCCCCCACTCCGTCGCCCGACACTGCAGCGGCCGCAGGGGTGCGGGGTGGCGCGTGGGGGAGGTACAAGGGGGCCTCCTCC